ATCCAGGATAGAATTAAACGTAAATAAAACAAATGATGCACAACTAAATACCGAAGAAGAAATTGATTATGTAATAAATTTTGACGAAGAACTTCTTAATACTCTAAAAAATGATATAGAAAACGAATCGCTCATAGTTGAATGCGAAGAAAGAAATGAAGACCCAGACGACGAGGATAACACAATACACACCAATCAAGAAAATCCAACTATCGGCATCCCTATCGCAGAATATGCCGTAAATGTAGAAAAAAACCAAATAATAATTTCCGAAGTAAACTTCGAACAAGCAATACCCAGTATCATTAAATTATTTAATAATAAATTAAGAATTCTAGTGCAATTTTTGAAAAACAATTTCGAAAAAGATGTGATAAAATGAAGGAAAACAAAACCATAGAGGACTGGACAAGACCGAGTCACGTATAAAAAATATATATTATTGGCCCAACCAAAGGGCTTCTATTCAAACTTATATAAATGAGTGCGAAATCTGCCAACTAACTAAATACGACAGAAAACCAATCAAACCATTTTATAATATTACCATCACAGCCATCAAACCTTTCCAAATATTACATCTCGATACAGTCACCCTAGAAAATACTAAATTTCTAACGTTAATCGATTCATTTTCAAAATATGGTCAACTGTACAAATTAAACTATGCCCAAGGAATAGAAGTTGTAAACGCCCTAATAAAGTATTTCTATCATTATAATATACCCGACCAAATAATCTCGGACAATGGTACCGAACTTGAAAATGCTCTTGTCCAAAAACTTCTTTCTATTCCCAAAACCAAGATCCGTTTTATATCCTCACAACACCCAAAATCTAATGGAATTGCCGAAAGAGTTCATAGCACAATTATCGAACATATTAGATTATTTAATAACCGCGACGAATTTAAAGATGAACCAATAGAACAAAAAGTCAATTACGCCCTATTAGCTTATAATAGTAGTATACATTCAGTGACTAAATTAAAACCTTACTAAATAATAAATTGACATTTAGAAAATACCTCTATATTTGACTTAGAGCTTGAAAAGCAACTTAATAATAATTATATAATAAACCATAAAGAAAAAATGAAGTTACCTACTTTACTCAGAAATAAATAAAACTATACAAGAAAATAAAAAAAAAATAATTGGAAAAGCAAACTTAAATCGTGAAGAATTACCTGAAATAATCCCGCCCAAGATATTTGTTCGTAACAAACAAATTAAACGAAAAACAAAAAATAAATATCAAAAAGAAGAAATAAAGAATACCAATCGCGAAAGAAAAAGAGCCAAAATCATTACTCGACATAAAAATACAACTGAAGACATACACTTATCTAATATTAAACGTCCTAAACGAAAACCTTATAATTTTATTACAGGTGCATCGCAGTCGGACACGCAGCGATCAACATAAAGGATATTAGCAACAATATGGGCATTCTACCCATTAATCTTGGACCTGCCAAATTACAAAAAGCAAGTCATACTTTTATCCACTTTTATGATCTTAATCCATTATTAGATGAATACAATCATCTTAAAACTAATATTTCGAACGATACCTTTTTTAGGTCAGAAACCGAAACTTTTATTAATTTAATTCAGTATGTTAAGAATAGTATAAATGATAAGTTAGACAATTTTAATATTCATTCTACTAGTATAAGAAATAGAAGAGGGTTGATAAATGGCCTTGGATCGATAGCTAAAGCTATTACTGGTAACTTAGACTCACAAGACGGAGAACGAATAAATTCAATGTTAGAACATTTAAAAGTAAACCAAATTAATTTACAAAACCAACTTCAAATGCAATACTCCGTGAGCCACGAAATAATTAAAATACTAGAAATCACAGATATTATTGACTTTCAAGGAAATCTTGAAATTGTTGTCTATTTAAAAGATTAAGTGCAATGAAATGCTAATTATTTTTAATTCAATACTAAATGTTTTAGAAAACATCGAAAACTCCCTCACATTCTGTAAACTCAAAACCTCATACACCCAAGTATATATTATAAAATCCCGAGACTTACTATTAGAAATAAGAAAAATCTCCTCCCATTACCAATCCCAACTTCCTTTTGAAGTCAAATATGAAAATATATTAAATTTTGAATCCCTATCAGAAGTTAACTGTAAAATTGACAAAAACAAAATAACCTATTTTCTTTCTATACCTATTGATTTCGAATTAAAATTTAAACTTTTTTATTTACTACCTATTCCCACAGAACATGAATCAGAATTTTTAATAATAATACCAAATAAAAATTTTTTGCTGAAATCTAAAAATATAATAAAACCTATAAACGACATATGTACTAAAGGTAAAATATTTCAATGCCCTGGGCACCTTCAAAACAATAATAATTTTAAATGTGAAGAACAAGTAATAATCAATGGAAATTCTTCTGAATGCCAATATATCAAAGTCGAAATTTTAAAAAATCATATAGAAATCATCCCAGAAATAAACCAATTTTTAGCTATATTTCCTTCGACAGAAAAATTAACAATAATTTGTCCACAAAGAACAGAGATTAAATCATTAACCGGAATATATCTTATAGAAAATTCAAATTGCAAAATAACATTTAGAAATCAAGAATTAGTCTTTTTAGAAAAAACATATATGGACAACCACTTATAATAAACAAACCAAAAATTCAATTTAATCCCACCAAAATTGTACCAATGGAAATTAATCTTAAATCACTGGAACTTAAAGAAATGCATACCAATGGACCATTTCCTATTCTGACAAAAAATACAAAATAACACATTCCAAGCCTGTGAAGCCATTCTACTGTATATTGGTATTATCCTATCCTTCTTATATTTTATTTACAAAAGAAAACAACAGAGGAAAGCAGCAAGAACATCAAAACAAAAAAAAAACAAAATTCAACTTTCTGAAGGAGCTTCATTTTAAGGGGAAAGGAGTTATAGTGAATAACCAGCAGTGTATGCAAATAGTTACAGGACATTGCTTAAGGCGCGTCTACGGTTTCAGCATTATCTCCGATTAGCTAGTATTACATTTTTATCAGATTTGTGTTGTTAGACATTAAAATATTACTTTTATAGTTTAGTTTAGAATCTGTTCTCTTTTAAAAAACTACATACAGAATGTTCCAAGTTTAGTTATATATATATATATATATATATATATATATATATATATATATATATATATATATATATATATATAAATATATATATATATAAATATATATATATATATATATATATATATATATATATATATATATAAATATATATATATATATATATATATATATATATATATATAAGTAAACTTTAAATATTGGGTATGCAGCAATAAAAATGTAAGGTGTACTCTTTTAACTTTTTATTCCAAGCTTTCGGACATTGGTTATGTCCTTCATCAGGGAGCTACAAATGTGATGAATAATTTTTACAAATATGTATAATTAATTAAAAATTCGATACTTACAAACTTAATGAGGTTGTATCATAAATGATTTTATAAAAAATGTTGATAAAATTTATCACAGTGTGTTATATCTGTTGAGCTAAAACCTATTCCTATATTTAAAATTTTAAAAAATTACTTAACATTCACACAAACTTAATTATTGATACACAAATCTATGACATTGATATTGACATTGACAAGTGAAAATCTCACATCCCTAATATCAAGTAATAGTATACTGGAAAGGGTGGGTGAACACTTATTCGACCAGAATAGAACTCGCACAGAAAAACTTTATTAACTGGCGTTTTGTACTATGCAGTAGAAGTCTGTCGTTGACCACACGTCTAAGAGTATTGAAGTGCTACGTCTGGTCCACTTTGTTCTATGGATGTGAAACCTGGACAACAAAAATAAAAAATCATAACAAATTAGAAGCGTTTGAGTTATGGTGTTACCGTCGCATGCTCAGAATCCCGTGGACAGCACACATATCTAACGAACGTGTGCTACAGACCGTGCACAAAGAGCGAGCATTGATCAACATCATCAAAATGTGAAAGGTCCAATACTTCCGTCATATAATGAGAGGACCTAAATATCTCTTACTCTGGTTAATCATTCAGGGCAACATCGAAGGAAAACGTTGGGTCGGAAGAAAACAACTGTCCTGGCTGCGTAACATTAGACAATGGATAGGTCGAACGGTCGAGGAACTGTTTCATCTAGCTGCCGACCGAGAATCATTTCATTAGCTTGTCAATATGACGATAGCCAACGCTTGAATACAAGCACGGCACACAAAGAAGAAGATATGTAGTCAACTCTTAAATATTGGGGAAATCTGCAATATTTATGAGTTTATTATTTAACTTATCTGCAAAGACTAACCGGGAAGAACCGCGTTGAGAATTACAAACTCATGATGTATGGTTCCGTTCGAGTTCAGGATCTCAATCTATCTGTCACTGTCACTGTCGAGTGACTCGATACTCTTATTGTGTAGTTTAGTGATAGATTTTCGATTGTTTTGTGTAAATTTCGCTATATTCTGTAATTCCATATTTTTACTTACTACCCATTTATGAACGAAACTTCTAGAAGTATATTTCTTGTGTAAAATAAGTAAATATCGACCTTTAAGTTGACCTTTTGGTTGTTTTTGTTATCCTGTTGTAACTGATTGGTTGTTAATTTTTGATGTTGTGTTCTGTAGGTCTCCGGATCCGGTTTGGCACTTTTTGAAGAGATGTATTATAATGCTTGATCTCCATTTTTGGGGTATAAATATATTCAAATAAAATTATTTTAGCATATTAAAGCATAAAGTATTACTTAAAATACTGCAAAATCATAGTAATAAAAAATAACAAAGTGCGGCATATTGCTCTCTTTCTATATTTCATTCATACACCATTAATGGGTATCAATTAGCAGTATTTATGCGCTGTTATCACTACAGCTGACCAATCCACCCCACCAAAAACATTCATAAATAAGTATAATATGAAATTCTGTTCGCGGGCCATAACAACTTCGATCGTACTCATCGTACCTTATTACACAACGCTCGGGTACTCAGTATCCATCAATCTGTTGCAGTTTTCAGTTTATGTTTTCAGTTTATATATCGCGGTGGTTAGTTACAGTGGTATTGATTTTTGTGATTGTTGTTAGCAAGTATATCAATTTTTTTAAGGTATGTTTTTAAGAATATATTTATGGTATACCATGCTATTATCATACAATATAATATCATATATATCATATATATATATATATATATATATATATATATATATATATATATATATATATATATATCTTAAATAATTTATGTATTCTAGTTAAAAATAATATCCTTTATTAACAAGTTTTACAAAAAAATGAATTTTTTATTTGAAACTTAAATCTATATATATCTTAAGTTTTCTTGAATTAATTATGATTATTATTTTTACAATTATTTTTCTCAAAAACATTACAAATAATATATTTTACATCAATCAATTGATAAACTTTGTATAATTATAAATAAAACTATGTAAGTAATCTATATATATCATTAACATATAATAATTAACGTGTTTAATTTTACTATTTTTATTTATAATTATACAAAGTTTATAACAACTAATTAATTTAAAATATATTTGTAACGTTTTTAATTCAAGAAAAGTAGTTATAATTGTAGTAGTAATAATGAGCATTATTCAAGAACATTTAACGGCATCTATAGATTTGATTTTCAAATAAAAAATTATTTATTTAGTTACATAAATATTTAAAATACATAAATATATATATATATATATATATATATACATATATATATATATATATGTATATATATATAAATATATATATATATATATATATATATATATATATACATAAATATATATATATATATATATATATATATATATATATATATATATATATATTTACGGCATAAAGTGGAGTCCGCCCATGTTAAAATTCAGGTTTAAGTGAGCTCCGTGGTCAAGTGGACACCGATATACGGAGCTTACTTGACCATTCCCTAATATTGGTTCTGTCGATTCGTTAACATACAGCGGTTCATAATTTTTAAAAAAAATTTGGAGCCCATAAATACCCCTGTATGATAAATGTATATCGTGTAGTTCACGTGTATATATTATAGGGGTCGTTCAGGTCTTTTTCACTGTATATTTGAACAATTAGTTTATCGGTTTAAGTAAGCTCTGAGAGTTTGGCAACCGTGCGATTATAGCGTATATTTTCAAAGTTTACCCTGAACGGTTTATATGAGCTCCTTATTTTTATCTACTTTTTGTAGGCCGTGTAATGCCATACGCATTACACTGTATAATCAAGGATATCTTATTACCGGGTATTACTACGTGCTAATAGGTACAAGGTACAGGTTATTTAAAAAACAGGTATATAGATACAAAATGACTTGGGCTTATTATTTAATGGAATGGTCACTTGCATAGAAAATTTTATTTTCTCTGCATTTTTAAAAATGTTATTTTTTTACTTAATATAGTTTTATTAGTTCAATGTTGAAGTCTACGTTTTTTTAATTGTAGAAGTTTCGTACTATTTATATTTTTTTTACGTGAATTTGTCTTTGTACGTTTTATAGAAGCATCCCAATAATAAAAACTGTTTTTATTTCATCCAATGTTCTGCGATATCTTGTATAAAGTTTTTTTATTATTTTAGTTTTGGTCTTATTTGTACTACATAATATGATATCTTGATAGAAGGTCATCTCAAAATAAATATGGTTAAGTGATATAGATATATATAATAGATATTTTTGTGTTAAAATGTGTAGTAGTGTACACAAAAAGAAATAATGGTTAATTTGTAGGGCGAAAGGACGTTCGCCTCATTTTTAGCTGACAAATATTATTTCTGACCTCAATTTACCTTTTAGTTTTAAACAATGATCTGTGAATAATCACGTGCAATACAAGCTACTTTCAAGGAATTTATAGATAGTCTACAGTTCAACGATTTCATGACATTATTGGAGGTTTAGTTTTGTGAAAGCGTTTGTGTTAGGGAAATTGAAGGAGCACATATGAGTTTTTCAGGCGTTTTGGCTGAAAATTGATTCATAGTTTAATTTTATTGGGCAATAATAGGTGTATCGTCTGTATAATAAAAGTCCTAGTATCTATAGGTATGGGTTAATCGTTTGTTTATACAATGTAAGTGTCTTTATGCTATCCCAAGCGAGACCGTTCTTCATCTGCTATTCTTACCATCGAGTGATACGAAAAATATTCTATTGTGTAGGCATACACAGATAATTTTATCGTTTGTTATCTACGGGGATATCATATAGTTTTTCGAGAAATATCCTGTAATTTAAGGTGTGGTAAGCGGAATTTATATTGAAAAATACCACCCCTGATACCCGATATTTTTCGTACCCGTCTTTGCTGTCTTGAGTAAGATTTAGTATTTGTAAAGTACTCGATCTTCCCTATCTATAGCCACTTTCGTCTTATAATTTGAGTTTTTTTTCTAATATCGGTGAAATCATATCATCGTCTCTTGTGCAAAAGTATTTTAAATAGCTGACAAAACAAAGATATTGGCCAATAGTTTTTGTGGTCGTTGGAGTTTTTGCCAGGTTTAAGCAAGGTAACAACTTTGGCTCGTCTCTAGACTTTGCGTATCTGCATAATTTGAATACAGTTGCTCATCATCCGGATAAGCCATTGTAGTGTTTTGGTCCAGATTTCGTAATTAACTGTGTGTTCAGATCCTCAATGCCGGTAGTTGTATTATTTTTCATTTAATATGTAGATGGTGGATCCAATCAAGCTGACTGTTTTTGTCCTTTCTTATTTTAAGTTTTTCTTTGCTTCTTTTACGACAGAGATAGCAGATCTATATCTATAATAAGGTTTTCAGCGATCAGCTTAACACCAAATATCCTAGGTTAGGCCCTATATGTGTTTCCTGCACTAGAAATACGCCAGATTCATGTTTAGCGCATATGTCTGATAAGTTTAAGTCAAGTAAAGTTTCTTTATCTCTAGATATACCCTTAACATATATAGGCATATGTTATTAGAATAGTTGGTAGTAAAAAGAACAAATTTGACAAAATAAATAAGTTTGTAATATCGGTTGCAACTCATACATGTACAGATAGATAATAAGTAAGTATAGATAATAAGAAAATAAACAGCTAAAATAAGTGTAAAAAATTCCAACTACATACACCGGTGCCATTGTTTAAATGATGGGTTTATCACAGATATCAAAGGTTACATTTTAATTCAAGGTTCCATTTACATATTTTCAACATGAAAAGACATGTTTATGCTTTTATTTTTTTAAATCTATTATTTTCTCTTTCTTGCAGCTATTTTAATGTTCTTTATTAATTGTCTTGTTTCTGCAGTAGGAATATATGTGTACCATGATAGGTTGTTGTTTTTTTAATGTAATTACTCTTTTCTTTTGCCAATTGCTTTCTTACTTCCTCAGCGATTGGTCTTTTTTTTTTCATCAATAATCTCATCCTCTCTCGATATAGCTATTCTAAGATATTTAGATTTCACTATATGCTCATATCATTTGGTTTTTATCTCAAATTTGGACCTATGATGAAATTTTTATATCTTAAATCTAATGCTTTCATATTAAACTGGAATAAAATACTTAAATACTAGCCAAATTGACATTAATTTTATAGTTTCCATTTTATTAGTACTGATGGTACATGATTAGCATCTGTTGGTACTATATATCAATTTCAACACATGGAAGTGAGAGCAATCTCCTGTTAGTAATTCCAGTGTCAATTATGACAAAACCCTTGATTGGATATTATAGAGTATCCAATATTTCAATCAACGGTATTTCAGAGTGATTTTTTTTTAAATTTTTATATATATTTGCAAAATGGAGAAGGACGTTCAGTACAGAGCCGGTTAAACAGTTAATCTGTCAATTTAGAAGTAAGAACAAGTACCAACTTGCTAAAAAGCACACCCATACACAAAAGGGATGATAAAATGTACTGCACAAACTGTAGTAGTATGAGTTACATATAAGCTATATATGAATAATTAGGATATACAGTATTTTTTCTAATACACCTGGAACGATTGCGTAAATAGGTGAACTATCAAACAGGAGACTATTAGTGTAGAATTAGAAAAACTTAAAAAATCGTTGATCAAATATTCTCTGTTAGGCAGTTAATGAGAAATGTTGGGAATACAGAAAAAACATTAAACCAGTTATTTATAGATTTTAAACAAACACATGATATAATTATAAGAATAAAACTATGAAATACCATGGCAGAACAAGGCTTACCTAAGAAATTAATTAATTTAACAAGGGTGAAGGACGAAAACTGGACAAAAGGGCTTTAAAAAAGGCGAACGAATTAGCGTAACAGCTGTTTTAAAAACTAATGCCTGATTGCACCAACAGATCTTAAGCTCCAGCTTAGCCAAGCTCCGCTTATAGCTAGGGCCACTAACTCTCATTTACGTTGCACCATAATTTTCGAGTCTTATCTAGGCACGTCTTAACTGACATGTAACTTGTCAACGATTGAGTGACGAAAAGAGTCTTAAATGGCTCAATGCCATTTAAGTGTGCAACGCGAATGTTTCGTAAGCTGAGCTTAAGGCACGTCTTAAGCTTAAGATATGTTGGTGCAACCAGGACTAAACAATATGAGACGAATTGGGGATATTATATTACACAAACTAAACCGCTTGGATACGAAAAATATCAGGAAATAATGATACGACAGAAAAGACTAATGACTTTACAGCTAATTGCTACATAAATAGCAATGTAATGCAAATAGATGATTTTGTATATAAGACTAATAATATATTATAAATTATACCTATATAGATACAAATAGTAAAATAAAATACAACTATTATACAATATAGTAAATACTTATTTAGATAAACGTAAAATGTTCCACTGAACGTTAACGATACATGTTTCAAATAAAGGTTAAAACATGCTTTTCAATTCGCGGTAAAAGACTTAGTAGAGTTCAACACACAAGATAAATTCGTAACAAAATTGATATATGAGTACACGGTACCCGATACAGCAGCAAATTAATTTTAACAACAAATATGTAGGTTGTACTTTACCCCATTGGAATCATAGCATCCGCTATGGAAATTGGTATCTTCTTTGACA